CAAGGAGTAGATAGATTACTTAAAATATTAAAATTGTGGTTGGAGAAAACTAGTGTATACCAGGTAAAGAAACAGCTTGTAATTGGGAAAGAACTATAACAGGAAGAGGATGAAACAAATAACTGTTTTCCTTTTTCTTTGTCTCTCTTGTAAATGTCTTACAGGACCGTTACCTTCAAAATGGCAAATGGCCTCTCCCGAGCCTTCTTGCGTGAATAAGACAGCTGACTGGAGGCTGAAGATACTTCAGAATGGCTTGTATTTAATTTATGGCCAAGTGGCTCCCAATACGGCCTACAAGGGGCACGCTCCTTTTGAGGTGCTGCTACGGAGGAATGGAGACACCATACAAGCTCTCACGAACAGCACCACAGTCCAGAACGTAGGAGGGGCTTATGAATTCCATGCTGGAGATGCAATAGACTTGATATTCAACGAAGAACATCAGGTTCTAAAAAATAATACATACTTGGGGATCTTCTTGCTAGCAAATCCCCAGTTCATCTCCTAGAGACTCGACTTGGCCTCCTCCTCCTCTTCAGCACAAGCAGGGATGCCAGTGGGTAGGATGGAGGAGGCAGATTTTCAATGCCCGCAGTTCATCTGGGTATATAAACCAACACAAAGACAACTCCACAGCATGGGAATTTTCAGTTCTCATACTTACCTGAATGAGAGTCAGAGGGAGGCCAAAGACATCTGGTTACCCCTGGCATTGGGTCAGCCAAGACACTCTGCTAGTTTGTGACAAAGTGAACATGGGTGGCTAGAGGACAGACTCTTAAAGTGTCTTTGTCTAATCCTTGAATCCCTGGGTGGAAAAATGAAGTCTTATTCCCATGGGAGCCTTGCCTGGTATGCAAAAAAGATCCCAGGCAGTGGCCTGGCCTTGTTCTCATATTCTTGGGCTGTGGACTGCTTCACTTCCTTCCTCCCGTATTCCCATCTTTTGAGACTCTCCTCCTAAAAAGAAGTCAGACTGGAGGAGTGGCCACAAATATGCCAACAATGCCCTATTTGAGATCCGATGGCATTCGAGGAATAGAGAACACTTTTGAGAACCATTGGGACAGAGGCACAGGTGGCACTGGAATGGAACGCACTTTATTTGGGAACTTCCCTTGAGTTCATGATACTCAGGATGCAGGGTGCTGGGTCAAACCAGCTGGTCAAAAGGGTCCTGCCCCTTCACCTAGGGCTTCAAGAGAACTTGTTTGTGTACGTGTCTAAACATTGTCAGTGGCAGAGAAAGGGTAATCATTAGTAATCATAAGATTTAACCCCAGAAGTTGGTGGTACCAGTACTGTAGTGTATGACATATTAATGATTTCATACTTTTAGCTGGCTTTGCAGTTTGCAAAGTGCTTTCATGTATCTAGCACGTGGGAACTCTATGAAGGTACGGCAATGCTATGAAGTTAACGGGGTAGGTATCTTTGGCACAGTTTTAACGATGAGAATACAGAGACAGATGGAGCACAGGTAACCTGCTTCAGCCCACAGAACTAGTGATTAATAGGGTCAGTCGGCTTCCCACTGTATCTCACCGTCTTAGTTTTAGGGTTAGTATTTCTGCTAACTTAAGTCTATGAGGTTTAGTAAATTCAGTTTTCCAGGAGGTGTACTCTTTCAGCCCAAGGAAGGTAGAAGGAAGCTATACCAAATCTTTCATTTCTCAGCAAACTTTGCTGCCTTTGCCTGGAGCAGGGAGCACAGGATGTTCAGGACTTGCTTTAACCCAATGCCCTTCCTCACTTGGAAGAGCCTGTCTTGGTCCAATGTGTTAACTTCTAAAAATAGCAAATGGCACTCAATTCAATGACAGTCTGCTAAAGTTTCGGACTCTGCTAAATTAATTAGCTACTTACGGGTTCTTGTTGAAAGGTATATAATTATATGATAAGCCAGTTAAAAATATTTATGGATATTTGTAAAAAGCTACATTGTTAATTCAGTATCACTA